AATTATTTTGTTCACTTTTTGTTTTTTAATTTATATGTGTAAAATATGCCCTTAACAGAATTAAAAATTAAAATATAGTATAAACTCAATGCTCCGAATATTTAGTATTCTCGTACAATTAATGATCTCAAAGCTAAAGTGATAGATGCACTTATCTTTTCGAAAGAATAACACGAGAAAAAAACGTTTTACTAAGCCGTACCGCTTAAATATTGAAACACAACAGAAGGAAAATTTAACACAAATCCTATACCAACCCGTCTGGCGAGCGTGGTTTACCTGGTAAGCCAAAATCTCCTTTCTAAAGAGAAGCCTATGTCCAACAGTAGACTGCTAAATGCTGTTGATGATGATGATATTAAACACTCATGAATAACTTATTAACATAAAAAAAATATGACAACCAAATAGCAATAAAAAGATTTAACTACGTAAAGTAGGTTATGCCATAAATAAAGTGTAATAACGCATAGAAAATATTAATCATTCATAGCGTTAGGTCACACTGGTTAAAGAAACTGAAATTAAGATAAAGTTTGTACGTACCTGTTGTTTTGCTATCATTGATTGTTAACGTTTTGCGTATACCAAGTTAATAGGCGCTTTCAATAAACAAAAACTAATTTCACTATCATATTGTTTATCTTTTATTGTTAAGTGTTCCGTCTTTGCTGACACTTGTAAATACAAGTGTCAGTGGAGACATATAGCAAAGACGGAACTGATAAATTAACAGGTACAACATAAGGATGACCTCAAATAGGTATGTGTTGACTTTGCAAGTTTTATTTTAAAGCACATATTATTTTCATAATGTATTTTTATGTGTAATTCTATGTTAAAATCATCATTCTTAACATGTACTTATTGTCCTTTTTTGTACATTTCATTGTCTTGTTTATATTGGAAAACAAGTGTCAGCTATTTAGGTTATACTTGGGTTATATGATAGCCTCCATTCCACTTATTTCTATTGTCAATTGTAAAAGTGGTCAATGATATTGGTTTCATCATAATGTAATACTCTATAAATATCTTGATCTATTATTATTATGTAACTGTTTGTTGACTGTCCTTAACAAGAATAAAAAAGTAATAAACTGACAAAAACTTTATGTTTTCAATGTAATAACTGATTGTGTAAATTTGTACATTATACATTAAGTTTTGCCAGCGGCTTCGCTTGCGTTAAAGAGTCTTTCTATCGCTAGGGAACGCTACTTGTTCTTATTGCAAAATTCGTCCATTATTTTTACAATTTGTGGCTAAAGTGTTACTAAGAACAGTGTTATTATTAGAAAGCTGATACCTCTTTGTCCGGATAGGCGGATACCGGTTTTCCAACCAACCTACTGGATAAACCCTCCTTATCCTCCTCCTCCAATCTGTCAGATGGTTGCTTGCTATCCGGTATCGGCCGGATAATTAGGAAAATGGAGAGTTGCTAAATACCAATTTCATGTCTAGTTTTTAGGGTGTATTATTTTATTATTAGACTGCGATTCCGCAATAATGAGACCGATTTGCATAAAGAGTAGTTGCGTGAAGTATCGTTTCTCTTTTTAAGATATGGATCTTGAAATTTTTTACGTTGTAGGCAATCGTCTAATTCTTAAAACTCGTTAGTATATGAGGGTACTTGCCTTTTACTTATAATTTTATATTTAAATTAATTTTATAATACCAGAAATCTCACGGTGGTTTAACATTGACCAGGACTAATTTTTGGTTTATTTGTTTGGCCAGTATAACATGATCTGCCACTATATATATATATATATATATATATATATATATATTTATAGTTCACGATAGAACTTACGCTGGAAAAGTTTACAATTTGCGATATGTCAAACCTTTAATGGGTTCGAGTTTTTGGCTTTAATCGGTTACGCAAAAATGAGCTTCGATGAAAATTACACAAATGCAGTCAAAATAGTTTTATTAATAGTACAAAAATTCTCATTACGATTTACTCATGTACATATGTACGAGTATTGCAGTCTTCGCGTACAAATTTGTCTTCACACGTCAATTGAATAGAGCGATTACTCATACCTATTGACAAAAATCGGTCAAAAAAAGTCTGTATCTGTCTGTCCCTCGTCAAGAATTCACGTTTCATAATTATATTACAAATAATAGTAGAAAACTCTTGTATAAATGTAATTTCACTTATTTTCACTTTATACTTGACATTGGTGAAAACTAATCTGTTTGGTCACGCACGTTAATTGGCACATAATTTTTTATTGTTTCTTTTTTGCGCCAATATTGGAAGTATTTTATTTTGCAGTTTATACAATTCAACCGTGCAATATTTATCAAGTATTTTTGATGTCTAACATCTTTCCTTTCGCTGCCTGAAATCTGTGGAAGAGTTCTCGTGACAATGGAAGTGTGTAACAGGAACTGTTTTGAACACTGATTCTAAGCATCTGCAAAGTGACATTAATAGACTCATTCTGTGGTGCAACAATAATAGAATGCATCTTAATTCTAAAAAGTGTTATCGTCTAAAATTTCAAGAAAAAAGAAAGAAAAGAAAAAGGTGGTTATTTTGGCAATCACACAAGACTTTTGAAAATATTGCAACTTGAGTTACCACCGATGCCAAAAACAACCTTACATTGTGTGATTGTGATCAACAATGATAAGATTAATGAAGTGGATCATATTCGTGATTTGTGTGTAATATTCGATAGAAAATTGACTTTTGTACCACATTTGGACAGTATAATTAAAAAAACATCTAGGATTACGGGTTTTGTATTGGGAATTGCAAAGCTTCTCGAAGTAATAGAGCCAAAACATTATGATAGTCTTGTTCATAGTATATGTATTAGAATATTGTGGGGTATCCAAATACACTTCGTATGGCACCTTGCTTTTTTGATTGTGTATCAATCAATGGGTATACTGATAAAATCGACCTTCACTTTGACTCTGCTTCAAAAGTTAAATCAATACTTATGAAGTTACCTGATTTTACATAATGTATCTATTGATAAATTAAACTGACTGAAGTTGTATTTTAAGAATGTCTATATTTACTAGTTATATTATCTCAGCTTACCTACTGTCTGAATTTTTTGTAATATTTTAAATGCGGTGTTAACCTTTAAGTGATTTTAACATTAAGTTTTGTATTTTCGCATGCAACTTGAGATAAGTATAAATGTTACAATTATTGGAAGACCATAAAAAAAAACTGTCAGAAGTGTGGTTTGATTGTGCATGAGCAACTGGATATATCAGACACATCATAAGCGACATCACATCATTAGCAGTATAATGGTGATGATGTGGTTAGCAGCTTTATATTTTGTCATATTAATCACTAACTGAATAGTGTCTAGAGTTTCTTTTATACAATTTATTATTACATAAAATAATCTAATTGCTCTAATAATTTATCACCAATTGCTTTTATAGTGATATTACATGAATAATAAACACATTTTAGCATTTCAATTACAGTAATTTGATATTCAAATCGTTGTAATTAATGTTATTTTAGAGCATTTTAATACTGGTTGATTAAAATTCAATCCTTAAGACCCGACCCTGCTTAGGATTAAGTAAAGTTAAGTAAAAAGCGGTTCTGGAATAATTTTGGAATTTAAGTTTTATTTTTCTATTACTCCTGATCGTCTGTTCACGGAACAGTTCGGTGTAGTTTTTATGAGACTTCTTCATATCCACACTCAATGTATACTTGTCTGCGATCAAGAAAAAATATGTTCCACATTTCAAAAGTACTTTTAGATTGAGTGTGTACTATCTTTATCTACTATCCTTTGAAATAAACGCTGTCTCTAAATAGAATCAATAACGTATGTTCCTGTTTATATGAAAACATTGTTCTTTCATTTCTTAAGTTAGTCTTTGTAGATCGAAAATCAAAAAAATGTATTTTTAGGCAAGCACTGTTCTACCATCTCTTAAAGAGAAGATTAAATTCAATTTGGCATTCAAATTAAATGAATAAATCCGAAATTTACCATCAAGTAAAACCTAAAGTATAACCTAGTAAACCTAGTAAAAGTAGTATAACATGATCTCGTTAAGTCCCGAAAACATAATATTAAGTCAAATCTCTTAATTATAATAAAGATAGAAGAATAATAGAATAAAGAGCAAAGTTGTGCCAACAAACATCTTATCGACGAGAAACTATCCTTAAATCATTTATTTTTAAAAGTTAATTTTTTTACTTAAAGTTGTAGAACCATACAAAATTATTCACTGCACCTGAGGACTATTATTAAGAGGACTGTTAAATATTTATTAGATCATTCTTAAAAAGTATTTTTAAAAGTATTAATTATATTTTTTCAGTATTAGACTGCTTAATTATTTATTATCCGCTTAAGAAGGTTTATTTAAGGCTGATGTGTATTAGAAAGTTTTATATGTGATTTTATGTACTTTTGTTTGTATTACTGTTTTAAATTTAAATCGAACACATCGTAAGTTATAAACTTAGTAGATAAATCTATATAAACCGTTAAACCTCGACATTTTAATGACACAACGTTGGGGTGTCATTCATTACAGACCGATGCACTGGATAAATGGAATCAAGGTTAAACAAGGATAAAAGGTTCTAAGGAGAGGCCTATATCCAGCAGTGGACTATTAAAGGCCGATTGATGCTGATGATTCTTTTTTAGTGTGCTAACTTTAGAGTACATGTATCTTGTTTATTAATTATTTTTTTATTCATAAGATCATCAATTGAAATTAATCTCTCAAAAAGTATCAAACTTTTCTGCGTCAAAAGTTAAGTCGCTTAAGTCGTCAAAATGAAATTACCAAATAAAAATTATTAGTTTTTTTTATTAATACATTTTCAAGTTCGTTTTACAATAAATTGCAGTATAGTACACAGTTCACATTCAACTTTATACAGTAACATTTTTTTTTGGTTTTTTCATTATTTTGTATAAAAATAAATTGTCAGGCAGTATGGAGCTTGATGTCAGAGGTAGAGGTGTTCAGTGCCAGCCGGAGTGTCCATGGCCCCAGGGTTCTTCGGGCGAGGAAGCGGCAGCGTGTGCGGCGGCGGAATACTGTTGGAGGTGAGCAGCGCGGGCGTGCTGTACTTCAGGGGTGTCGACTACGTATTGCCCGTCGTGGGTCAGTTGAATGTGGGCCTGTAAACGTGTATCATGCTTAGTAAGACGGCCAGTTGCGTAGCTGTAGTAAATTAACTGCAGCTTTAGGTAATGGGTGTTCTCAATATATTCACTTAAAAATAACACATTATTGAACTAGAAATAAATATGATTTAAAATTCACACCCATTTACGTTGTTGTAATTTGGCATGTTAGAGAACCCCTAAAAAATGATGACCACAGACGGTAAAATAAATGAAGAATTAAATGCACTGATAGAAGTAGTAATGCTCACCTGAGGACCATTCCACTTGCCGTAACCAGCGGCGTAACCACCATCATGTGCAAGACCTGCACCGTACGCGACCGGCGCGAACGCGGCACCGTGCGCGAGAGCACCATGTGCTCCGTGCGCTGCGTTAGCGTGAGCTACTTGGTGGGCGGCGATGTGAGCAGCTTTCAGGTGAGCTACCTCAGGAGTGTCCACCACGCGACCGTCGTGCGCGAGGGGAGCGGGGCCGTATTTGTATAAACCTGTGGAGTTACTTGCTGGTTAGTTTGGATAGACACGTATGTATGAAGTTACGATAATAATAATGATTTGTAGATGACTCCCTATTAGTCAGTCCCTATTTGTTTATAAAATTTTAAGCTAGTTATGTTCCACATCGGGATTTTAAGAACGACTGGGGGAATACGGTAGAATCTATAGGAACAATAATAAATAAAATGACTCGATCAAAAAAACTATTATCAGATCTTATGTATGCTTTTTGTTATAAAGGGTTCTTTTTGGAATAAAGGAAACCCTTTTTCTAAGGACACCGAAACGAACTTTGAATATTGTTGAACGTTTGTATGACGCAATCTACTAATATTTAGTGTTCATAGGTACATACCAGCGCCAGGAGCACCGTAATGAGCACCAGCAGCATAAGCGGGGCCTGCGTTATAACCGGCGGCGGGCGCCCACGCACCGTGCGCACTTGATGCCTGCGCGTGCGCCGCGGCATGTGCGGCCTTAGCGTGAGCTACCTCGGGAGTATCCAGCAAGAATTTGCCGTCACCGCTAAGTTGGACGTGCGCTGGTGGGCCGGCATAGAAAGAAGCCTGTGCCAGGCAAAGGGTGGCTGCTAGGATAACCTGTTAACAATATTCAATTGTTGTTAGTGTACAAAAAAAAAAAACATAGAATTACCATTGTAGAAGATAATAACAATCAAGATTTGGCCGTCTGTATGGTTTAATAGGGTAGATTCCTGTGTTTAAAATAAATTATTTCGCCTGCATCGTTAAATGTAACATCTCAAAGTAGAACCTGAATTGGCCTCCATTATCAATTTAATGTCTTTATTGATTTGATATCTTGATATCAACATTAAATATAAATGATTTGACAATGGCTAGGTATGACGTCACGAAATAGTATTTCATACAAAAATGTACCGCGTCTAGCGTTTTGACGTTTAAAAAAAAGTAGCTGATTTGACTTGACAGTCATCTACCCTATTACACGAATGAAGTTGTTGTGACTACACTAGTCCAGTCATCTATGAAATAACAATGTGAACGTAGTGAAATTATTTTAGGTCATTATTGCAATAGATATTATATTTATTAACTGACAATAGTCAGTTTTAACAGTTTTAACTAGACTTATCGGAGCATAACCATCGACTTCACGATTTCACACTTCTAGTATCGCAGCACTCACGCAGCTCGAGGCAATTTCGATCATACGTGAATGTAAAAACTACTAACGTTTCGACAACGGTCCTTTTTTTTAACCGATTTCTTTACAACAAAAACGTCAGAAAACTATTTTTTTTATTGACCAACTATATCTAGTGTATTTTAAAATTCGAATTAAAACTAAAAGTTAAAGTAGGTATTATTTAAGTACTGACGGCAGCATTTCTATTATTAGTTTACTTTTAATTTATTCCATTTTTAAAGTAATCTACTTTATCTAAACACACATTTTTAAATAAAGAATATATTTTCACGACTCACGTCATACTTTCTTCCTTTGGGTAATAAAAACACAAATAAATGTTGTAATGATTTCTAGTAGATTACCGAGGACATAACTTGCATACATTGACCCACAGCGCACGGTCCACTGGAGGCCGAATAAAAACCAGCTGTACCGAAGCAAGTGTTTTGACATGTCTCTATTAACTATATTTCACGGATAAAGGCTCTATTGCAACGACATGAAAACAGGCTCGAGGTATTTGCTTTATGTCTAATGATCACCGCTATTTCTTAAAGGAACTGTTGATTGGTCCCAAGATTTAAAAAACTTAGCAAACAATTTCTTTCACCGATGTTTCTTGTAACTGATTTGAATTTTGATGTACTTTCGAACACTCATTCAAAAGAAACTATAAATCGATCGTTGAAGAGAATTTTACGAAACTCATTTCGTTCTCTAAAAACTGTTTTGTGAAAACATTTTCAACGAATAACTAATAAACCGTTGATATAATTAGGCCATATTCTTGCAACTTTGCACTAATAAATATCTAATTGCATATATGCAATAACGTGTGAAAATGAGTTAATAATGTAATTTAAAGTTATTTTTCTCAATATGACTTTACGTAAACGATATCTTTGTGAGACGAGCAATTATTCAGCATGTTTTCATGAGATTTGTAGTAATCCAAAGTCCGTATTGTATTTATTATCAGATCTCTCACGGTCTTACCATTTGCTTATTACTTACTTATACTAAATGACTGCCAAACATTATATCACATGCGTAATTTCATAATGCGTGTGAAATTGTACTATGTCTAGTCTGTGTTGTGAGTTTAGTGTGTTTGTTATCTACAAATATTTGCTTAGATAAAAAATTCAATACAACCTTTTCAAAGCTCGTCAATAAATCTTTGAATGTTATGAAATAATGTCTTGATATCTTAAAACTTCATTGTTTGATATTTCTAACATACTAATTAAATATAATTCATAGAGCAATATAGTTATAGCAGAGCTTTAATTTCTTGAAATACAGTAGTAGTTATAGATTGATGTAAATGTAATAATATAATAGTTGTTACTAACTAAGGTATATGTAAATATAGTGAGTTTGCAAAACTATTACTTTAAATTTTACAGTTACGAAAACCCAAGGCGTGGCTGCTGAGGAAAAAGCACGCACTGACCAATACAGATTACAGATAAGAAACTAGTACAGCATAAATAAGATCTAGGTATAATTATGGATTTATATATTTTGTGGTTGTGTTTAGCGCTACGATAACAATCTGTTGCAATCATAGCATAGACAACAACAACCCACTGTTCTTTTTATAAACACGTGTGTTGTTTATGATTTAGCTTTTTAATTATCTATGAAATTTTGGGTTTTTCACTTTCTAAAGTAGTGGTTTTGTATAAATTATGGTATAATGACGTACGTATAACAAGTGGGTAGAACTAAAATACATACATGTCATATACTCACGCCTCCATACCCTTCCGGGGTAGGCAGAGACGATAGAACGCTATTTAGGTGTAGCCACGTTAAGAATTTAAGGATTTTAATGTTCAAAATGTACATGTTTAAGTACAACTATTTAACGACAAGATAATTTATTTGTCGAACTCATATATAAAGACATAATCGGCAAAGGAATTTCAAAGTGCAAATACTTGTCAATTACTTGTCAATAATGCCTTAAATCATGATTTATTAATGTCTTACAATTATGTCTATCATATAAAATGCAGCTAAAGCCATTTACGGAAAGTTATACAGGTGCAAGGTATTACAAATAGCCTTCTGAGACAATTTCGCACTGCTAATAAGCTGTAGGGAACTTTAGCATCCTACAGATTTATCTTTAATGATAAATATTGTGATATGATAATATCACAGTGAATATGATAAATCATCTATCTTGATAAATATTGGTAACAGTGAGAAACGCCTTAAACCCATATTGCGAACATATTTTTACTTTTATTTCACCACAAATGCGGTTCCGATTATTTTATATTGCTATATCGCGTTACAATCAACAATGAAATCTGCAATACTTCGCAATACAAGATATTGATACAAATATGAAACCGCAGACCACTTAATAGACTTGTACTTTCACGAAATAAAAAAAAACACACGTGAGATGTAACTTAAACTAAAACAATTTAGTCATATAAGGTATGAAGCACCATCATAAAAAGCTTTGTGTTAGACAGTTAGCACCTTTTAATATTTCATCTGCAAAATGTGTCGGTAAAATAGTTAAACGGTGTCATGATTTACGTAAAAGAATCGTATTGCTGGACATTTTAATGAAATACTACACCACTGGTCGCTCATTTCAACGAAATTACATAAAAACTATTTTGACGACAAAACAGTAATAAGGTAGACGAGAGAAATACAGAATGTAGAAAAAGAGTCTAGACTGTTCGACAGGTAATCAGATAAAGAGATACAACTATAAGTAAACAATGACTGTTTTGCAAGAAATCGGCCTCAATGAAAGGTTGAAATGGAACACTATTATTATTTAGGTATCTCTCACGATGTGTAAAAGTCATAAATGATTTAAGTATTTTGTTCAAATATTCGTTTGATAGCCTTTTCCTGATCAATTGTTAAAGCTGGTCTAATTAAGGAGTAGAGAGGCGTATTACATCTGATTGAAGTTTGTATTTCGTATCATTAAAGTAAAATTTAAGGACATCAGACAAAGCGAGCGCACTGTAATTTGTGGGCGTGGACCTCATATCGACTCGTATTTGCATTCAGTTGCAAAAGACCAATTTTGCAATAGATCGGAATTATCATTCGACGAACTGGTGCACAACAAGTCGACCACTGCAATTTATATTGCTTAAGAGGAAGCCGTGGGCGTGAGGAAGTGTTATGGTGTCTATGGTCGAAGGTCATAAAAAAAATAGCAAGACATTGAAAATAGAAATTTGTTTACACTTGACCGGCTTATGGTAACACTAGTTTTTGTCATTTGTTTTTATGTAGCTGTGTACCAACCTTTATGTAGAAAGTAGAAAATATGGCATTTGGTTAATATAGTTCACGACTATCCTTTTGTCATTGTCGGAAAGATATCATTAACCTTGCCACCAATGATTAAAAAGGTATCTGATTTGTTTATACATTAATTGTCTATATAAAAAGAGTTTTGCCGCCCAGACTCTATATCAGATGTTAAAATAAAGATGACAGTATTTTCATGACTGTATGTCATACACACTAAACATAAATAATAACCAATGTGTACATATTACACACCTACTTTTAGTTATCTGAAATATGAATACTTAGACTAAACTTGTATTATCACACTTGTAAATCGATACACCTTATTATTCAAATCATAATAATTTGCTAATATTGAAGGCGTAGCATAAGTACATATATTAATCATCGCTTACATTGTCAGAAATTATTGCCCTTGACATATTTACAAGATGTTATTAAGTAGCAACAAAGATGAATAAGAAAACTGTGGGCAGAATAATCATTTTATGCTAATTGTTTCATTACAAGCACTTTCGTTTATATGAATTAATTAAATCTGACATAATGAATCCGTTTGTATGCCTTTAAGATTGCTATACTATCTTTAATTAAAGTAGATGTATTATATATATAGTATTACATATATATTCAGAGGAAAAAATGATAATTTTAATTTTGTGTTTTATATTTATATTGCTTATCTGCCGCTTGTAATAAATTATTTAATCAGAGAAGTCAATCTACTGTCATCTTTTTACTTGCCCTTGTTCCTACTCTGTTTTCTGAATATAGACGGAATACTTCATGGTGTTACTTTCATTTACGAAAGCAACTAGGAAGGTCTCCGTTGCACCCTTCGATTAAGCGCTGAACACCAAGAATGGCATTGTTCAAAAGTAAACACTCCAAGTACTACTTTCAGATACAATAATATAGTAATGAACCGTACAAGAACCAGAAATCCTGCAGAAAATATTCCAAATTCCCAATACTATTTAAAATTGGACACACTTTGACGCAACTAGTGAACAAATAAATAATAGTCGAAAATAAATACCAAAAATAACAAAGTATCGGAGGGAAGTTATGTGACACGTATAATTTACGCGTCTAAAAGGGTGAAAGTGGGAAAGAAATGGTTTCCTCCTTGCATAACTATTAGTTCTTGTTTAACTTCTATATCACAGGCAATTAATATTTTGCTCTCTATCATAAAAAATATAGAATAGAGATATATTGTACATAAACCAGCTAAGAAAATTTTGAATTGCTGTACTCTAAAACAATGATATACAGACAATAAATAAGGGCGGTAAAATATTTTCGTGTTTATTATAAGAAAAAAATATAGAACCCATAAACAAAAATAGAACAAAATACTCACCATAGACTGCATGATTACTGTGTGTTTATTCTAAGGTTCAGAGATCTCAAACGAACTAACTTAGGCGCTGCTGTTGGTCAGTACTCGCCTAGAAATTTTCGACTAAGTGACGTGTGTTCACAACCACCTTCCGAGTTGGAATGTCGATTTGACACAGTACGCCCCTTTATATATGAAACACCCCGCTTTAGCAGTTCGTAATTGGAAACAATTAAGTTTCAAGCAAGTGCAACGTTGTAATTTTTAATTGTAAGATGTGCATGCACGTTTCCGCCGGAACGCGTCTCGAGAAAATTGTCTTAGGGATGATTGAATTGACATGTTCTTTCACTTTTTTTAGTACTTTTCGGAAATTGTTAGTCGTTTGACACAATTCGATCTGTCAATATAGTATATCATGGTGATAAAGGATGACTTCAGTACCCGTTGAGTAAGATCTATTATATTGCCATTTGTTGCTCGTGTTTACATTGCAATTTCCACATAGTTCGATACGTTTTGTGGTGAGGAAATGAAGTTAAACCGAATAATATTTTATGTGAACTATATGAAATGACAAAAAAATTGTAGTGAATGATTAGAAATAGTTCTTCGGAAGATTGTTATCATTATTGTATATGAAAAGATGAAACGATAAATGTTAATCAGTAATTTCAGGCGCTTCCAATAATTAATTGTGAGTACAAATCTTTTTTCGATTCGGTTATTCGCGAAACTTGTAATTGTGATTTAAAAGAATAAAACAACAACTTTATTATAAGGGAAAAACTCAAGAATGTCAACTTAAAAAATGAAAGTCTGTTGAAAGAGCCATAAGGAGAAGAGTTCAATAAAATTTCGCTCACACATCAATCGTTTAAAATAATTGATTTATTTTTATGACTAAATGACATGCAAAAAAAGGCTCGATAGGAAAGTAATATCACCAAAGTTGCCCACTTTATAAACTTAAAATTTGTAGTGACAATATATCGAATGTCCGTTCAAAAGCCGTAGGTATATTAAAAAAAAGCGGCCAAGTGGAAGTTGCACTCGCCCATGAAGGGTTCCGTAGCAGCAAGTAACATAATATAAAAGTTCTCGTAGTTCGTTGTAACTTTGATCGATGTTTTAATAATAGTCTATTTTTTTAAATTAAGTTATTGATTTATGACGTATTAACAAAATACTACTTACTAGATCTCGTTCAAACCAATAAATACTCTTATTAGCGTTTTATAAGAAACACAATGTAGATGTGTATTTTCATTCTGGTTTTCGTTCATCCACATATTTTAAATAGGAATAGGACACGGGTTTTCTGTCTTATTTTTATTTGTATAGGCTGTTAATGAGTTCAATAAATTAACAATTTAAATTAAGGATTTTACAGTGTGATAAATGAGTGATAAAAAAAATCGTTTCAACCACGGCACTCCAATAAAGCGCCAACTATCACCTAGGGTAGTTTTAATTGAAACAAAACACAAAAAAAATTAAGACAGAAAACATCACACATCACATCAACAGCCTATACTAGTCCACTGCTGGACATAGGCCTCTCCTTAGAAAGGAGGTTTTGGCCTACTATACCACGCTGGCCAGACGCGTTGGTATAGGGTTTGTTTCAAGTTTTCCTTCTCTTTGCAGTGCTGTTGTCCTGCTTAGTTTGCTCCCTTAGTCGGCTCTTACGACACCCACGGGATGAATTGGGGTGGTGACAATTTGTATTCTTAATCCGTCACCACACGGACGAAGACAAGAAGACAGAAAACATTGCATAGTATTTTCTTTCAAGTTTGCACATACATACATACATTGACATCTGTCCATTTTAGGTTAAGCACATGACGCAGCTCACCATTTAGCAGCATAAAGAAAACAACATTGATAATTTTAGCGAATCGGGAATCAAATTCAGGAGCTTATGACGTCATTGTAAATTAATGCCACTGTCTGCACTCTGCCTTAATTGTTTCCTTCATAATATCCTTTTCCTTAGTTATATTATAAGTATATCTATATACTAGACATTCTACGTCCTCATTTGTTATTAAGGTGTAATTGTTCGACATAGCCGTATTAGTCATATCAAGCCGTCGCTACCAGACGTATTTTATAATAAATCTAGAAAAACTGAGAATAAGACCTGGACTTCCCAGAGAATAGTTTGTTACATAAGGGTCATGCAATCTCTAGTAGTCAGTGATTACGGTCATTATTTATAAACTTAGATATTCGATTTCAGAGCCATTTAATATAATCCAGTTTACAGGTTTATCGTTTTAATTTATCGGCATTTTGGCATTTTGTTAGCGTGGTCAGGTATTAAATTCATTTTCCCTATATTTATTAATATAACATTGTTTTTTTATTAAACCAAAGGGCCAGATTAAAATATCGTTCGTATCATGGGTAGTCGGGTCACTGGTGCGCAGGCTATTATGCTTTCTTTTTTTATAGCGTTTTTTGATTTTTACAACCTTAGTCTGTTAGAAGTTATTAACATAGCTTGAAGCTTTTTGCTTTAAAGACTTCTAAAGTTTACAGTAAATCCAAGTCTCTTCTGTATCATGCTACTTTTTTATTTTAATATCTCGTAGTAGTGACAAATTATGAGTGGGAAAGTGGAATTAATGCATTTTTACTTGTTAAGTACTTCAATTTTAAGATACAAATAAAAAGGGTCCTATAAGCCGACCTGGTTAAAATAGTGTTACTATCTCAGATGTAAGCCTACAATAGCACATAAACTGAATTCAAAGTATGTGTTTAAAGTAAGGCTTAATATGGGGTATGTTTAGTGGATTTAGTTAGATGCTATTTGTTAGTGTCTCTATTTGAGAAACTTATAAAATTACCCCTAAACATGCTCTACGTAGATTCATATAACAACATGTACCTTCAGCAATATTTTCCCCTAATTTGAAGTAAATTAGCGTGCGTTGGTATCACTGCATTTCACTTGTACCGAAGTGGCAAGGTGAACGCAGCAACAATGTAACCGTAAATCGACACATACCTTAGATTTGAGGAGATTGTGTCTATGCGTAACCACGAGGTAAATTTTAGGGTAAATTGATGTAAGTGGTAATTGTCTGTAACATTTTGACATAACACGAAAGTGGGTAGGAGATTTTTTTATATAGCCTAACGGCTAACCCTATTTCTAAAGCAATCTGTTTCTTTTGTAAATATGTTTGATATAAAGTTACCCCAAATCCCTGTGAAGCATTGTATTTTTAAGCAACTTAAAAAGGGAGGCTTTGCTTAATTTTCTTTTTGTTTTAAAACTTATCTTGAACATTTAGCCATTCGTGGTTGTTGTCTGTTTAATGTATACCCTCGTCGTCGGAAATCTTACCAGCGATGGTTTTCCTTGAGAACACAAAATAATGATCTTGAAAAGAGTATAGGGAAAGGTTGCGATGATTGGACCACATAACTTTAAGGTGTCATATCTATTTTAATTTTTTTCATGTTAGAGGGGGCAGACGAGCAGACGGGTCACCTGATGGAAAGTGACCATCGCCGCCCATGAACGTCTGCAACTCAGGAGTCTTGCTCGTTGCCGGCCTTTTAGGAAGGAGTACGCTACTACTACGTACTACTACTACGTACGGAAATACCGCAGACGATAACTAAAATAAAACAAAAGTGATAGAATAAAATTTGTGACTAATATTTAATCCTTTCTTAATATAGATGCGGTGCTTTATTTATTTTAGATCAAAGTTGATCAGTATTAGCAATATGAACGACCGAGCAAACGATTTTTAGATCTGTTTTTCTTTGAACCATCGTTGCATTGAATGGACCGCTTCGTTGCCATCATTAGACTTAGAAACGTTTGTACCAAAGGCCCGATCATCGCAACTAATATTATATCACCGTTTTATTAATGGTAACAATAAGAATCACCTAAATATCAGTCAACATTACATTTTATAACTTTTTAACCAAACGTAAATTTGCCTACCATTATATTAAATATTGTAAGTACATAAATTAATATCAATGATAATAGCAATAAGACTTAGGGTCAGCTGTAGCACTAGTTCCATTCCTGGTATTTCAGGTGACATTTCAAATAAAGGTTCGATCTTAACTTGAGTTTCAATTAATAAGTTATTATAAACAGAATATTCACCATGTTTATTTTTACAGTAACCCATTTCATCCCTGATCATGGCCCTTGCAACAGTGCTGAAATATAGATATCTAATTTTTGAAAATAAACATGGTAAATATTCCGTTTATAACAACTTACTATGTTGAGGTTCAATATTCTAATTTGGTTCTCTTTCGGTGGCCATGAACTCATAGTCAGCAAAAATGTCAGGTATTTCAAGGGTATGTACTGAAATATACTTAATACCTGTCGTGAGTGCGTTAATTCCCATATATATTATTAGCTGACCCGGCAAACGTTGTTTTACCATATACCTACATTATGTCTAGGAAATATTGAAAAAAAAATTTAGGGGTGGGTCACCCTTGTCTTTTAGGGGTATGAAAAATAGATGTTGGCCGATTCTCAGACCTACCCACAAAATTTCATAAAAATCGGTCCAGCCGTTTCGGAGCATTATGGTAACTAACATTGTGACACAAGAATTTTATATATAAGATGGAACTCGATAGATTAAAAGTTGGCAGTAAGCTTGTTCTCCACACTACTACAAACTATAGCAAAAAATAGGAAATAACAAATTATCCACTAGATAAAAATAGAGTATAGATTTTAGCCCAATAGCCTGCCTAGGACCGGATGACAGATTTTAAGACCAAAGTAAATAACAATTCGGCAGTTTAGCAGTTTCTTCGCAATGTAAAAGAAGGTAATGGTTAAATTCAGAAATTGTCAATCGAGGTAAACGACCATTTATTCCACTTAGTACGGAACCTGATCATAGTCACTGTCTGCACTCGGCCTTCACTGCAAAATTGACAATATCCTTATTCTTACTATTATTGTATTAACTAACTACCTAACTAACTGTATAAACCAGCTGTTGTATACAACTTCATTT